TTTCCTTTTTCAAGATTTTAAATTTTTCATCATAGAGGTCCTTCACTTCTTTGGTTAAGTTAATTCCTAGGTATTTTATTTTTTGTGGGGCTATTACGAATGGAGTTGCTTTCCTAATTTCAGCCCCGCTTTTCTCATTGTTGGCATACAGAAAAGCCATTGATTTTTGAGGGTTACTTTTATACCCTGCTGCTTTGCCAAAGTTTTGAATCAGCTTGAGTAATTTGGGAGTGGAGTCTGTGGGATTCTTTAAATACAAGATCATATCATCTGATATGTACACCCTTACTGTGAGCACTGTTGCTGAAAATTTGGGTGTGTGACTTTTCCCTTTGAGACTCTGGTTTCAGATAATTGAGGTTTAAACTTACAAATCAAATTGCTGGGTCAGATGATACTTAATAATTTTTGTTTGGCTGATTAGCTATATTATTGTTTATAGCAGCTTCCTTGCATCTATCTATAGAGATGAAGTGCTCTGATTTGTCTTCATCCTTTCAAACACTGTTTTTCCAAGATGACCATCCTAATGGATGAAAATAGTTATATATTATTATTTGAGAAGTGTTGACATAAATTTTATAATCAGAGTGAACAATAAAATTGTGTTCATTTTGGAAAAAATAAAATGAATAGACAACTGTGAAAAAGTTATTTATCCAGAATCGTTTTCTATTACAGAAAGTGCTTATTTATATTGGAAGCAGTAGTAACATGTATAGTTTGGTATTAGGTTGATGCATGGATAAATTAGGAGCTTGTTGCTAAAGAGTATTTAGAGGTTTTAATAAAACACTGTTAGTATCATAGTAAGTATCTTAATTATTTTTAAGTAGTGAAATTGGACTGCCAAGACTTATATTTAGTAAGTATAACTACTAATTTTTGTATACCATGCTTGTTTTCTCTTAGCCTTTACTGTCTAATTAAACATACCTATCTCTCTTTTTGAAAGTGCCAGTCCATTGTGCTATAATTTGCAGCCACATTTATCTGTATAACAGAATGACTTTTAGTAAATTTGCTGTGTGCAGCCTTACACAATCCAGTTTACAACATTTCAACAAGCCAGTGAGGTCCCTCAGAATCAGACCTTTCTTGGTTTCTTGTCAAACACAGAATTGATGGCAACACAGTTTTTAATAGTAGGACTGTATTTATTACTTCTTTTTTGTCAGTTATGGGGCTTGAACTTGGGGCCTGTGTGCTGTCCCTGAGCTCCTTTGCTCAAGATTAGTGCTCTACAACTTTGAGCCACAATGCCACTTCCCGTTTTCTGGTGGTTAATTGGAGATAAGAGTTTCATGGACTTTCCTGCCTGGGCTGGCTTTGAACTTTGATCCTCCGATCTCAGCCTCCTGAGTAGCTAGGATTATAGATGTGAGCCATCCTTGCCTGGCTTATTACTTCTTTTAAATAAGGACAAAATGTTTGTAGTCACTAAACACATTGTCATATGATGTAAATTTTAATTAGAGGACTGTGTGTTACGGGTTTGAATTTTGGCAGTTTTTAGTGAAGAAAATCTAGTGTCAGAACTAAAAATTCCTCCATTCTAGAATCCAAACTAACCATTTTCCAGTTTGCCTTTAGTATTTGATCTTTTGCAGTTCAATATTTGTAGCAGATCACTGTTTAAAAGATTGACAAAGTATGAAAACCCCTTTTAATTCCAAGTTACACACAAACATCACTGCTTTCCTAGGCAGGTTATCCACATGGAGAATAAGAACCAAAGCAAACTAAAAGCAGTTTATCATTAATTGGGTAATAAATGCAGTTGTTGGCACAACTGGCATTTTACTCTAAATCACCAGAGGGCACTCTTTTCTAGTATATTACTTTGAACTCTACTAATTGAATTATTATATTGTCCTTTGAAAATTCTGGTCCAGTTATTAAGATCCAGGTGGGGATTATGGGGAGACTAATGATTGCTTTTGCTAGTAATTTCCAGTGAATTTTTAGGTCAAGTGTTTTCTAATTAGAGTCATTGGAAAGGTCCTATTAAAAAATCAGAATTCTGTGCTTTAGGCAGTGATGTGTCTGACACACACAGTATCTCCTCAATTTAATCACATCAGCTTTCTTCATTTCTCTCTCTCTTTGTTTATATAAAGGTTTCAGATCGGGTGGAGCGACGGCTTCAGGAAATAGAAAGAGAGATGCGTACAGAAAGAGAGCTGGTGGAAAGACGTCAGGACCAGTTGGGACTTATGTCCTTGAAGCTGCAGGAGGTTTGTGACAAGTATTCTCTAGGAGTGTAAATCTTGAATTTATTTAATTTCCTAGTTACACCTGATGATATAGTAAACCCGTTGGAAAAAGTTTAACATACTGTTATAGTATGATATATAGGATCAGACCCACCTTGTTTCATAATTACCCTTTATGTGACCTTGGCAGATTTTGTTCTTTTTAACTCCTCTCAGAATGACTAGTTTACTCTGTGGAAAGAGGGATTGTATTAACGTGCACTTTCCCCAAATGGTGCATAGATAAATGCGTTAATGCTTTAAAGCAGTTATCCCAGTGTATAGTATGGATTCAAAAATTTTTAACTCTGATTATTTTTGGCATAGACTGGACAGATAACATGTAGTCATTTCTGTGTTGTTGGTAGGGACTTCTGTGATGTAGTGGCAGAGGTGGTAGTTATGAAGTATAATGTTGGGCTACAGTACTGACAATCTGGCCCTTGGCAGAAGTTTGCCAACACATGAATTAGGTTATCATCAAACCAGCTCAAAATGCAGTAGAACATTACCCTTTAAGTGTTATTTATTTATTCAATTATTATTATTATTTTTTTTTTTGTTGGTCGTGGGCTTGAACTCTGGTCCTGGGTGCTGTCCCTCAGCTCTTCAGCTCAAGGCTAGTGCTCTACTACTTGAGCCACAGTGCCACTTCCGGCTTTTTCTGTTTATGAGGTGCTGAGGAATCGAACCCAGGGCTTCATGCATGCAAGGCAAGCACTCTAACACTGAGCCACCTTCCCAGCCCAGTGTTATTTATTTTGATGTTTCCGATTTACGACAAAAATAGAGCAATCTTTTTTTTTTTTTTTGATTCCCTGAAGATTCACTAGGTTTTTTTTTTTTTTTTTGGGTCAGTCGTGGGGCTTGAACCGGTTTTCTGATGGTTTATTGGAGATAAGAGTTTCATGGACTTTCCTGCCTGGGCTGGCTTTGAACCACGATCCACAGATCTTGGCCTCCTGAGTAGCTAGGATTGCAGGCGTGAGCCACAGGCACCCAGCTAGTTCTTAATGTTGAAGAGTGGGAATTTTTGCTAGGCAGTGGTGGCTCTCTCTTGTAATCTTAGTTACTCTGGAGGCTGGGATCTGAGAATCATAATTGGAATCCAGCCCCAGCAGAAGACTCCATGAAACTCTTATGTCCAATTCATCATCAATAAGCTAGAAATGGAGCTGTGGTTCAAGTGGTAGAGCATCACCCTTGAGGGAAAAAACCAAGTGAGAGCTTGAGGCCCTACTTTCAAGCCCCAGTTATAATTTTTACTGACTTTGAAATGTACATTTCTTGTAAGAGTACAAAAGATCAGAGTGGCTGAAATCCACTGAATTCAAATTCTTACCACAGCAGCACACAAAATGCATCAATGACTATTAGCATATAATATAGGAATTTCCATAACATTTTTAATAGGTGAAAAGAAAGCAAAGCTTTCTTTCTCTCCTTAAACATGACCTTCCCAGAACAGTCTAAGCCATTTAACTTGGGAGCAGAAGAAGCCTAAATCAATCTTTTTTTTTCTTTCTGTTTCCCCTGCAGTGTTTATGATCCAAAACCACCTTTTAAAAATGTATAGGTCACTGCTTATATTAAAGTGACAAAATATGAAATTAAACATCTCTTATCAACAGTGATCCTCTATTGTATTACCACAGATGGAATTCCAAATCACAGTTCAAGCTTTTAGTCAAATTGACAATTACAGTACAAACACACAGGCTTTGACTCTCAAGAACAGGGATGGGAGGCAATCTTCCCTCTCCCTCTTTCTTTGTAATTTTGTGCATTCTGCAAAGAGAGAAGGAAATAAGTACAGAAAATTTCTCTAATTTTCACTTGCTAAAAAGAACAATTGTCTTTTCAATACTATTCTTATGTTCACCAGATGCAATTTGCCTTGAGAACAAATGTATAAAAATCAAGGTTAGAAAAAAAAAGACTACCCACATGCTGTATCTAATTATTCAACCAAGTATCCTTTTCTAAGTAATTACCAACCAACAAGGTATGCCTCGTTTTGTGAAATAGAGCAAAATGGAATTTTAGAAATCAAAAGCCAATTTTTCTTTCAAGCTTGCATTATAATTTTTGGGTTGCAAGTTTTGTTCCTAATTTTGAATTGGCAGTATCTCCTGATGTTTAAGAAAAAAACCTGCCAATTGATAAAGGTTAATGATCTGCAAACATACATAAACGTATTTTTGGAACTTTTAGGTAGTCATTGCCTACAAGAAAAGTTTCTGAAATATTTACAGAAATCTTCAACAGATTTACTTTCTATAATGATAATGATACAATGTAAGAAATGCAATAAAATAAGAAGCTTGATATCAGTCTTCATTAAGACAGACAGAGAGACAAATAAACAGATCAGTCAAAGGCTATAACCTAAATATAGTCCTAAGGAAAAAATCAATAATCTCATAATGAAAGACATCCCACAAAATCAATTGTATAGGACCCTGAGAAGTTGATCATGAATGAAAACTGAAAAATTATATGATTAAAGGAAATTAACATAGACATAGCTAAATATTACATGTGTACCAGAGCTTCTCTCTTGGATTGGAAAAGAAAGTCGCTAGCAAAATTTGTCCCAAATCCTTAAGTCAAATCAGAGCATTGTAATGATATTGATTTCCTGACTCTGATCACTGTATTGATTAAAAAGCATATAAAAATCATATTTTAAGTATAAACATATTTACATGAGGTGGCTCATGCCTGTAATCCTCGCTGCTCAGGAGGCTGAGATCTGAGGATCGCGATTCAAAGCCAGCCTGGATAGGAAAGTCCATGAGACTCTTATCTCCAATAAACCACCAGAAAACCAAAAGTGGCTCTGTATTACCATATGTCATATATATTTTCAAAAAGCTCTAATCTTTTACATTTTTTTAACAGTTGTTGAAGGCGATTATTTTCCCCCATATTCTTATTAGTATTCCTAGGTTATTATTCTTAAAATTTTTTGTCAGGCTGGTGAATATTTTTGTTTAATGAAAGCAGTGTCAATCATTAGAAACTGGTGGAAGGGAGCCAGTCTCCTGTTATTGTTTGGAATTTTTAAGGAATGGTTCACTCTCTTCTGTTGGTTTTTTCCCTCTGGTCTGAACAAAAGGGCTGTAGTGCTATGGAATCTACTTGGTTGAAGTCTCATTTATTTGCATTTCCTTAGTAGTGAATTTGACAGCTTCTTATGTTTTTGTCATCCATCTGCATTTGTGTTTGTGGAGATTTCCTGTTTATAGCTTTTGCTCATTTTAATATCTTGGATTATCTGAATTTCCTCAAGGATTGGGTTTTTTAATGAAGGGAGACTGGAGTCTAAGTTGTCAGAGTATGGGCTTTGAGTATTTGTTTGTTTCCTCTCTAATTTCAATGCTGCTTCTGTTAGATAACTAGCTTCCTGTCCCATCTGACTGTGTTCTAAGGGCTCCACTATTGATGCACTGATGCCATTTTGTCTTAGTTATTATAGCTGCTATTATCTTTTGTAAATTATAATAAAAATATTTCCTCATGCTCCATGAGAAATTATCCTGCCATTTTGATGGTAAATATAGGTAGATAGATAGATTAGTTTGAAGAGTAGGTATTTTATAATGTTTTTCAATAATATTGTATAAAAGTTGTCCATTGAAACTCTAATCCATATTTTACTAGAGTTATTCCTAGGTGCCTTATTTTTTTCCCCTTTCTACTGGGAATGGAATATTTCTTTGATTGCATCTTAATTGGTTATTTATATGTGGCTCTTTATAACAATTTTTGCTCTTATTCTTATAAATCATAATGTTACTGGCATTTGACATTTTAAAGGCAGTTGTCAGGTGTGATGACTATGCTTCTAATTCCCACTGCTCAGGAGGCTGAGCCCAGGAAAATAACGATTCAGGGCCAACTTTAACGAAAAGTTCATGGAATCCCCATCTCAGTCAATAAGCTGGACATGGAATATTATCTGGAATCCCAGCTGTAGAGGACTCCAGAGGTAGGAGTGCTGCAGGCTGAGTCTGATACTGTTTGAAAAATAATCTACAGCAAAAAGTGTTTGAGGCATGGTTCAAATGGTACAGCGCTTGCTTAGCAAGAACAAAGTCCCGAGTTCAAACCCAGCTTTGTTTCCCCTTTCCCTCACCCCAAACAGAACTCAATTTTATTTGTGTATGACTTTTACTCTCCCACCCCAATGGCTGGAGTCTGAAGTCCAACACTGAACAAGAATTCGATTTCTATGTTTCTGAGATGTCAGCATCCTGATTTTGAGTGCAGCTAAACACAGTATGTTAGGAAAGTTCTTTCCAGCCCTCACTGACATGAGAACTTCAGTCTGTGTTGATAAGTTTAAGTTTGCTTGACAAGCATCCTTGACCCCACCAAAACCTTGCATTTTTGGTTGCTTTCTTTGGTGTAATTTACTCACACATTTTTACACAATGTTTTATACGTTTTGTTTTTATACATTGCTGAATTAATTGTTTTATTTAGCATTTTTATATTTATGCTTATTAGTAAGAACAGTTCATAATTTTCTTTTCTTTTGCCAATCCTGGGCCTTGAACTTTGGGCCTGGGCTCTGTCCCTGAGCTTCTTTTGTTTAAGACTGGTATTCTACCACTTAAGTCACAGCACCACTTCCAGGTTTCTTTGAATAGCTTATTAGAGATAAGGGTCTCACAGACTTTCCTGCTTAGTCTGGCTTTGAACCAAGATTCTCAGATTTCAGCCTCCTGAGTAGCTTGGATTACAGTCCTGAGCCACTGGTGTCCAGCCAGTTCATAATTTTCTTTGTCCTGACTTTTGTTTTAGAAGCAAAGTCACAATAAATTTATCTAAAATGGGTCAATACATTCCTTCTTCTATATCCTGGTTCTGTTTGCTTAAGAGAAAGGTTCTCTTTCTTTAATATTTGTTAAAAGTCAACATTAGACTTTTTAAAATCTGCTGCTTATATCAATACCTGCAGTTGTTTGTATTTT